GTAGTGATTTGATAGAGGTGTTTAGGTTAGAATACGTTTTATTTAACTACAATTTTAAAAGATGCTTAACTTAGAATTCGTTTTATTCAACTACAAATCGTTTTATTTAACTACAATTTTGAATACAACTTTAAAATTATTCAACCATATTTTAAATTAATTAATTTATAATATTAATGCTCTGTAAATTTAGATTGAGCACTATTTTGTAAAAATAAAAATATCTATAAGAACACCAGATTATATATCTTACTGTTCTTTCTTTCTTTTTTTTATATATATATATATATATATATATATATATATATATATATATATATATATATATATATATATATATATATATATGTATATATGTATATATATATACTGCTTTAACAAAACTGTGCTCAAAGATATAGGAGCTAGTATTTATACTACAAGTAAATATAAATTTTTAGGAATATATATATATATATATATATATATATATATGAAGAGGGAGAGGGAGAGACTGAGAATGAACGCAGTACGTTCTGCTCATAACAAAATACTGCTCGAGATATAAAACCTTACATCTATACTAGTAATAAATATAAATTTACACACATCTGTATATATATATATATATATATATATATGTGTGTGTGTGTGTGTGTGTGTGTGTTGTGTGTGTGTGTGCGCGTATTTTTGTATAATTAATGGAAATTTTGGTAATCCGTATGGATAATTCCAAGGAGGATGGAACTTGGAGAGCATAATGTTCAGTCAGAGCGAATAATTTAATTTAAAGAAAAAAAACAGGAAACTTTAAGGTACCATTGTAATAATTTATTTCACCATATATATATATATATTGGTAATATCGATTACTGTTTTTTTTTAGCTAAAATTGCTGGTCTTTCAGTGCTTTGCTGATAAAAGCATTTAAGGCAAGTTGTCTTTGAGTGATCAATACTGAAAAAAATTCTGAAAGCATTAAACATAATTAAAAGTTTTTTTTTTCACATAGTTCATGTTTAAAAAAAATCTAGACGTCATGCATTTAACAGATGTCAGAATTTATTGAAAAATACATCCCTACCCCTACCAAAACGAAACTAATAACTGATACATCAAAATACAGCGATAATGAACACGGAAAAATCCCTTGTCTAGTTTCTTGGTTACATAGCTGCAACGACTCTTTGAAACCGTGTCAGTCCCTTAATATTTCTTTATATCTTTGTACTATTATTGTGGTGTTACTTTCGCTTGATAGGTGTTGATACTTTGTTTATTTTCATCTCCTTTTTTCTTTCCTTTTAAGTATTAAAATTTTCTTTCATTCTTTCATTAATTCCTCACTTTCCTGGGTGACATTTACTTTATTACAAATGCATGGGTTTTGGATTGATTTGGTGTGCGATTGTGTGTTTATGCGGGTCGGTGTATATGTGTGTGCCTATGCCTGCGCATGCATGGTGTACACATAGATACATAAAAAAGTGCACGTACTCACCCTCTGCACGTGTATGCCTGTGTATTCGCGTACGTGCGTCTAACTGTGTTCGTATGTTTGTGCGTGCATTTGAGTGAACTGTATATGTCTCAACTGATCTCGTTTTTTTTTTTCACCATTGTGTTTAGGTTATGATTGAATTTTTGTGCGTTTATATATATTTGTGCTGCTCTATGTTGATGTTGCGCTGGTGAAAAGATAACCGCTTCGTTGCTTTTCAGAACACTACAAGGCTAGAATTTTCAAGTCAAATGTCGATCTTTATTTATCATCATTATGATTATATCCTTCCTTCCTCTTTAATTCATATAAATAACAAAATTCTTTGTTTTTATTATAAAAATAATTCGGTGACGTGAGCGTATCTTTATATTTTAAATGGGTGTGTTTTCTATAAAAAAAATAATCAGCTCGTGACATTTTCACCATGAGCATGTTCTTGTATACGAAAATTACTAAGATTCTTTTTCTCTTTATATATATATATATATATATATATATATATATATATATATATATATATATATAAATCTTATAAGTATAAGAATCTATACTGCTCGGCATATCATAATATATGTATATATATATAATATGTATATATATCATAATATATATATATATATATATATATATATATATATATATATCTTATAAGTATAAGAAACTATACTCGCTCGGAATATCATAATATATGCATATATATATATATATATATATATATATATATATATATATATATATATATATATATATATATAAAGTTCATATGCTATTCTGTTTTGGGTTAATGTTTTTGAACGTTTCAGTCCTTAGCAAAACCTTTTTTTTTTTTTTAAGTGCGGACGCCATGATTTTGTTGGCTACAACCTATCGTTGTTTTTTTATTCCATCTCGGGAATTGGAATTTGTTCAGCGGAAGATCATATGTAACGTTAAAACGGAAATTAATGTAGAGAATATTTACATGTGTTGCTTTTGTATTCGTATTAATCACACACACACACACTTACACACACACACACACACAAACACACACACACACACACACACATATATATATATAATTATTTATTTAAAGATATGATTTCATCGCTATATAAGAGTACTCATGTTTCAAAAAAGAGCCGAAAGCTTCAATATAATTATTAGAATTAAATTGAATTAAAGTACCAAGCTCTTCTCCATCTCTAGCCCAAGCTCTTCTCCATCATACTAATTATAATTTTAATAATGAATATGCTTATAAAAACGCGTACATTTCAAGAATTAGTTATTCCAAGAAATTCGCTTGAAAGTTTGTGCGATAAAGTTTGTATGCATTTATATATATATATATATATATATATATATAAAACAAATACATATATATATATATATATATATATATATATATATATATATATATATATATATATATATATATATACTACTAGCAGTAGAGCCCGGCGACATGAGAAGTAAGAGATAGATCAAGTATCGACCATCATAAAGACTGAAAAATAAAATTGGCAAACATTATTGTTTAAGGTTGACCGAGACGCATGTCTTAATTAGCATTTTTTTTTAAGAATTGGTCAAACCCAAACTCAAACAAAAACATTGTTTTCAATCGTTATGAGTCTACCGATTGAAGAGAATTTTATTATAAACAATTGTCTTGTAAATGGACTTTTAAAAGCATTCTGTATGTAAAAATAAAGATAAAAGTGTCCAAGACAATAAGAAAATCTACCTGCCAAAAGAAAGTGATGTTTTGTTGAAATCGGTTGAAAATTGTAGGAAATCCAATCCCATATATAAACGAACATGCACCCAAACAAACAACCTGGGTTTTATAATAAGTATAACTCGATATGAGTTGTCCCCTTTTCATTCTCGTGATGCCTATTAATCGTGTTTCCAAATTGATTTCGTACAAAAATAATAATGTTTTTCTAATTTTTGGCGCTGTCAGAACCACCGCAAGGTAATTTTACGTAGTCCTGTGAAGTTTTGTTGAAATCGGTTGAAAAATGTAGGAAATCCGATCCAATATATAAACGTACAGACACACACACATTCAATCTCTGTTTTATAATAAGTAAGATGAAGCAAATATATATATATATATATATATATATATATATATATATATATATAAAAACAAATCGCCCAAGCTTTCCACTGGCACGCATATATATATATATATATATATATATATATATATATATATATATATATATACAAAGTCATATGATGTCTGATTAAAAAGCGGACCTGTAGCTATGGTAACAAAGCGAATGATGAGTGAAGCAACTTGGCAGATGTTTTGCTGGAGCGCACAGATATCTTGTTTATACCACTGCTTGGAAAGAACATCCCGACAGTGTGATCGTCATAAAGGGGCTGGAATCTTGTAAATATGTCTATGACCCCGTATCCAAGGCCGATTCTTTGTAGTGGAAACTCCAACCTCTCAGAGTCCGCAGAAATCAAGAACGTGTCAAAGTAATATGAAGACTGTTGACGACAGGAGTATTTTCCATCACGCGTGTGCTTTACCTGGACAGGCAGCAAACAAGGCGTAGTACAGTGACATGTTGCTGCGTTTCCGGGATACTTTTCTTCTGAAAATGATACAGCCGGTAAGTCACAATTACACATTGACAACGCAGCTGTTCATTCTGCGCAGATTGTGCAACAGGATGTGGCCAAGGACAGCTTTACCCAGTTTCGAAAACCAATTTCCTCAGATTTCTGCACTTACGATATTTTTCTGCTTTACAAAAATCAAATCCACATGAAGGAAACAAGATCTGAAGACGTCGTAGAAAGCCTAAAGAATACGCCGTGGCAATTGCTCAATATACCAAAAAATGGAGTTCCAGGAATGCTTCAATCAATGGAAACGACACTGGATAAAATATGTTGCTTTAGGTGTGGCGTTCGATGTAAATTAAATGCCGAATTCATATATACTCTAGTTTTCTTTTTATTAATCCACTCTCGATATTTTGGGGTCAGATATCGTATATGTGTTTTAACCAGTTTTTGCTGAAGCTATGAACTTGACTGAAAATAACATTTCTTCCATAAGATCTTTCTCACAGTTTTGGTTATGATTCAATGTTCTTGAGCTAATGTCATATACCATTAGGCTAAATTTTCTTTCTCAGGAACATACTGATAAACTTGATTTGAAAAGCTGATATATATTAAGATGAAGAAAAAAACAACTCGATTGGGAAAAGAACTAATTGAATATACGATGATTCATAGTTTGCGTTTTAGTGTTCTTTTTTACTTCCCCCCCAATTTAAAAATGTGAAGCTATCCTTGTATACAAGACATTTGCCAAATGCGCCATCATTTTGGCAAGATGTCATCAGACATATACAAACAGAGGCAACATCAAAACAAAGTGTACAGTAAATTTCAGCGAAGGTTATTTTATGCGAAAATAAATCTACAAAAGAAGTCAAACAGATATATAGAAGTAGATATATACAGATATATGCCTGTATTTATATATGAGCTTGTATTACCCACTACTGTCACGCAGATAGATAGATAGATAGATAGATAGATAGATAGATAGATAGATAGACAGACAGAAAGAAAAGAAAGCTAGAAAAGAAAGTCCTGATATAAATAAAGGAGAAAAAGAAAGATAAGAAAAGTTAGGTCGCTAGCTAGCTAGATATACAGAATAGAAAATGCTGATATATATATAAAGAGAGAAAGAGAGATAGATAGATAGATAGATAGATAGATAGATAGATAGATAGATATGTGAGAAAATGTGACAGATAAGAAATTACTGAGATAGATTGATATAGAGAGCGATATAAGGAAAGACTGAGAAAAATAGAGATATAGATAGATAAGAAAATACCGTGATAGATAGATAGATAGTTAGATAAAAAAAAAACTGGGATAGATATTAAAAGATTGAGATAGAGATATGAGAACAGATATATATATATATATATATATATATATATATATATATATATATAGAGAGAGAGAGAGAGAGAGAGAGAGAGAGATAGATAGATAGATCCATCCGCAGCTTTGTACATAGCGGAATTTTGATTTGAAAATTTCACTTGCTATTCTACGATATAAGATATTAATATTCAACACACTCTTCCTCGCACTGTCAAGGAAAAATAATATTGAAAATCAAATGGTTTGTTATTTCTTTCTATTATAAGCCGACGTATATCCACTGATAATTGATTTTTTTCCGTTATTTTTTATTATATATTATCAACATGTTGTTTCTTATTTATAGCAGAAACATATCCTGGATTGTATGAATAATAATATGTTGGCCTGTGAATATTGTATTATGTGTTTTGAGGGAAAAAAAACGCTTTTTCAAGATACAAGTCCTATTCTTTATCCCATAGTTGGAATAGGAGATTGATTAATATCTGCCCCCAGTGTATTTGTACTTAAGTTAATGCTACGTATCTGACAGAAATTCAAAATTGTTTCTCTGATTTCTCATTCTAAGCCGCTATTGATTACACCAACGGAACATAAGCACTGATAGAATTTAAATAATTAATATCAGACAAACAATATAGCATCTGTTTTGCCCCGTCTACCGCTGACTTGCTTACAGCAATCACTGAATATCTATATCAAGTCCTTGATAATAAGCGCGAAGCTAGTGATTGACTGGGTTTGGCACGATGGTCTTCAACGAAAGCTTCAGCGTTATGGTATTAAAGGACAATTTGTTGATTTATTCTAATGATTACTATCAAATCGTGAAATGAAAGTCATTATGAACGGGTTAGCTTCCAGGTACTTTCCCACGAACGCGGATGTCACACAAGGCTCTATCCAAAGTCCTACGCTGTTTCTGATCTATAAATCATCTTTCTGTTGTCATCATTTCCCAGGTAGGCATTTATAAAGATCGCTGTAACATTTAATCCTATCTCAATAGCAAATCCGTCAGAGCCGACGAAATTAATCTGGACGTTACTCTTATAAAGGACCTCCAGTCAATGGATAACGTGGACAGGAAATGGCTTTTAAATTTGAATGCCACCAAAACTAAACTGCTCTCATTTAACCACCATAGAGAAACTTCCCTGCTCGCCATCTGCATGACTGTTGCTCGACTTCTGGAGAGCGTATCTCTGCGTCTTCTTGGCATCACGTTAATAACAGACTTGAAGTGGAACAACTATATTGAATCAATAGCTGCATCTACTACAAGGGAACTTGGTTTATTTTGTCGTGTCAGAAAGTTTTTCGTGTCAGAGTCCATCTTGCATAATTCAAATCTACCATTCGGTCGTGCATTGAAACTATTGTAATATTTGGTCGTGTGCTCCTGCTATTCATCTCGATGTTCTTGAGAAAATCCGAAAAAGGATCATCAATGTAATCGATACTCACTGGCATATCCACTTCAATCACTTTCTCACCGACGTGGCGTGGCTTTGTTCTACTTTTTCTACAAATATTTCCATGGTAACTGCTCTGAAAAGATATTTTCCTGGTGCCCGATTTATGTGACATTAAACGTCTACGTCCCACCCTGTTGAAATAGTTAGATATAACCGCTACTTCTACTCGAACAGTTTCTTTCACGCACTTTACGAAAGTGACACTCCCTCCCATTTAATTGCTTCCCTGAAAATACAATCTTCAAAAAGTTAAATGCGATGTCAATTGTCATCTTCTGTCGTCTTGAACACAGTTCATATTTTATACATTCCTCAATTCTCTCTATACCCATTACTTTCTCTTACTTTAACTCTCTTTGACACCTCGGGTACTAGTGACAAACCCGTCTTGGTTGGGGTGAAAAGATCAAAACAGAAAAAAGATAGATATGAATACAGTGACATATTGTTGTGGTAGAATCCACCTAATTTGCATAGTGGAGTACCGACCATATAAATATGGTTGGTACCGGGAAGACGAGGGGAGGAATCCAGAGATTCAATCCGGAGACTCTGCCCGACTGCGACTAAGTCAACACATTCTGCAGGAACGGTCTTCCCAAGAATATACAAAAGACTATATGTAAATATTGTGTACACTTTCTTGTTTCAATATATTTTATTCTAAGTACATTTTGTGTTGTATTATTATTCCATGCATTAGTCAAGTTTCAACACATATATAGATATATATGAACATAATGAGATAGATAGATAGATATGAATACAGTTTAATATATAGATATATATAAACAGAGTGAGATAGGTATATAAATAGACAGATAAGACCACACACACACACACACACACTCACACACACACACACACACACACATATATATATATATATATATATATATATATATATATATATATATATATATATATAAGTTATATATATATATATATATATATATATATATAGTTAAGTTAGGAAAAACTTGGTAATCCGTAAGGGTAATCCCAAGGAGGATGAAATCCAGAGAGCTTAATGTAAATCCAGAGTTAATATTTAAAAAAAACGGACCATTTTAATGAATCATTTAATAATTTATTTCACCAGAGAACTTTTCTGATGGCCCGAAGTCCTTTAAAATAATGGAACCTTATATATATATATATATATATATATATATATATATATATATATATATATATATATGCACACAGAGAAAGATATCAATATTAATATCAATAAACGAAACATCTAATCAAGATTGAGGTGTATAATTAGAATAAAAAGGTACGATCTCATACAAATGTTACATGTAAACATCATCATGTAAGCAACACCGACACCAACATTGGTTGATTGATTTGCTTTCTTTATGGTTTAACAATCTCTAACTGTTTATTGAATGTCTGAAATATTTTTAAATTCTAAGAAAATTTTCCATATAATAATGATTTTTGATAAAAAGAAATCCTACTAATCAATACATATCAGTGGGGAGAAGTGGTGAACTCATATCCTTTCCCAATGGTATTAGCGAGTAAGTGATTATAATAAAGTGGATTTGGAACTCCTCTCTTAGATTTCCAATTACGAGCCGCTATTCATTACACCACGTGCACACCCAAGCTTACAGCACCTTGTATTCCCAAGCGATCACCCATCCCAGTACTGACCTTGCCCGGCGTTGCTTAAATTGTCTGATCGTACAGAACTAATGTTTCCACAAAAAACAAACAACACCAATAATAATAATAATAATAATAATAATAATAATAATAATAACAGCAGCATTCTGTGTATTTATTTCTCCGCATCAGATTTTAACTGTTCTACTTCCTTAACACTATAAAACATTTGAACGCAGAAATTTAATACGGAATGAGATTAAGATTAACTAGAAATTATGAAAAAAATGATTACATTAGATTCAAGTATTCAAATCAACGGTAAACACAAATTCGAATCTGTCATCGCTAATGAGAAATTCAAAATTACCTGCGACGTTTAATGTCACACGGATCAATCAGCCCCAACCTGGGATTTCAGATTTTTTCAATGCGAGTCAACAGAAATTGATTTGTGAGGTGTTTGACATCGCTTCTTCAGCCGACTACGGAATGAAATTGAAAAGCAAGTGAAAAGCTGAGGGAGAAAAAAAAACAACTCGTGTTTTGCCATACAACTGAAGGAATTATGAAATGTCAAAGTGACAGTCGTATGCAAGATTTGTAGAAGCACTTGAAACTACCCAGAATATTCTTTCTACATTACAGAAGGATTGAAAGCAAGCCGATCCTGCAAAAAATAACACCAGTAAAAATATCGAGGAGATAGTATCATATGTGATTATATCCCTACTTAGGCTTTGCAGTTATTTCTCTCTTTACTGCCAACTCTGTAATGGAATATTCATATTCCTGTCTCGATAGTAACTCCGATCGGCTCGATAATGTCAACTATGGCCTTCAGTCTGAAGTTAACAGGCGCAAGGGATGGTTTGTTAATATCAACACTTCCAAAATTAAGCTGATGTCTATTAATCATCTGAGCGACTCCTTTCATCATTCCATCAGCATTCCTGATGCTAACCTTTAGGAGTGCAACTGGTTGCAACTTCTCGGGCTAGAATTTTCGGTTTGCATAAAGGGGAAAGACTATATTGAATCCATTGTAGGACAGATGCTAATGTTGGTTCACCGTGATATGCGAGACAATTTTTCTCTCCAGAATCTCTCATACATATCTATGAGTCTGTCATTCGTCTATACTTAGAATATTGCTGCAATATATGGCCTGATGCTACTGCTATATGTCTAGAGCTCATTGATAAAATCCAAAGAAGAATCAGCAATATTATTGGTTCTGATCTGGCGTCTTGGCCTCTGTTACACTCCCATCGCTTTTGCATCTCTGTGATTCTTCTATAAATAATTGTATGGTAATTATTCGAATGAGCTCTCCCCTACGGTGCTTAGAGTTTATGAAGATTAGGGAAATACTAGACTGGCAACGCGGTTTTAACACAGTTAAGCCTGATAAATGGAACGGTAAGTTATATGCTAAAAGTTTCTTTTGTTTCTTGTTGAAATGTCTCCCGACTCCATTCTTTCCAGATAAACTTTAATCTTCAAAACATTTGAATACAATCTCAATTGTTCTCTATTAACCTCCTGATTACTCTTCTTCAGTACTCATAACATAGTGGTATTTCTCTTTAACAATACATTCACGCACAGTAACACCTTGTCTCTCAGTGGCTTTAATGCCATGATTGAGATAAACTTCATAAAAAAAAAGTACAAAAGTTGTAATAACACTTTAATAACAGTATCATTATAACTCATTATTTTTCATATTATTGTTATCATTGTTGAGTGAAAGTGTACCAAGTAATTGACATTGTGGTACGAAAATACAACGACGGCGGTTACGTTGTCCTTTAGTCTTTATTCATAATGGACTCTCCCGTCAAGCAACACATCTCCAAAGAAACAACAGCCAGAT